AACATATTAGTTTTTGAAATATAAACAAGCTTCTATTGGTCACATTCACATGTTCTGATGATGTTATTGATAATTGAAAAGAAGGTTTTGAAAATGTTTGGTTCAAAAAGCTCAAGTCCCTTAATGGAAATTTCCATGATATCAAAAGATCAAGTGATGGATAATATGGATTCCAAACTCTTATCTCTTACTTAAGTTTCTCAAGTGGTGACAAAACTTTAATGGAAAAAAGCCGAGGTCTAAATAGTTTTCTTGAGATATCCCAATCCAATGCTTATTTAAATGAAAGACCAGTTGGATTGACTTATTTAATGCTGCAGGTGGTGAAAAAGAAGATTTCTTCTGAGGTTTAAGTGAAGCAAGAAGACTATCTCAATTAAGCAGATCCCTTTTAAGAAAAGATTGTTTTTATTTTTGGATTTTTTTGGTGGATCTTTAATTGTCTCCTTTTATCAATCATTTTTCTTCTTTCCCTTTTTTAACTTAATAATTTCATTGGTTTTTAAGCAATCAATAATAATAAACTGTTGGCAATGATCCTGGTAGATAGAAGTTATTATTAATCAATTAGGAAAGCAAGATATTGTTTCTAAAATCTGACTTAGAGTACTTTTGTATGAAGATGAGTTAGTTCCTTTGTGAAAGTCTGTAAAATATTGTAAATTCATTTCAATTTTTCAATAAAGACAAGCTATTGTGACATGATTGTGGATTAAAAAAAAAAAAAAAAAAAAGTAATCACTTGAAATTAATAACTATTTAATATAATAATATTTCAATTTAATAATCAATAAGTTATTTCAAAGATCATAAATAATAATAAAAAATTAATTCTTATTTAATATTCTATATAAAAAGTATCAGATATTTAATAATTCTAATAATTCTTGCAAGTATATAATTTTTTTTATAACAATACAATTACAGTATATTTGGATCGATTTTTCATATGTATTAGTCGTGCTAAAAAATATCAATTTTTTTATCAAATTAAACCATGTGACTTGGTAATGTGGAAATTTTTGGTTGGCTTGTTTTGAAAAATGATCGGTTACTTTATTAATCTTTCTTCGAACTTCAAAACTACCGAAAATGCATACCTCTCTTTCTTCAAACACATCTTCGCGTCTATTATTATTATTAAGGCTTTTCATTATATTGCTTTTCTTGCATCCGGTCATATTACATGCTCACATGAATTATCAGGGTGAACACAATAATTATGGAGATCATGAAAAGATTAAAGCGTAAGTAGTAAGATAGAAGATGAAAGAATTTACTTGAAGAAATTAGGGTTGAGCCGATTTCTTAATTGAAACGCGTATCGAGTATCAAACAGCACAATATTTCTTATTACGATTTTTTTGACACCCATTCCCATTTTTTTAATTGCCTGTCTTAATATCCTAAATTTTTTCCTTAAGTCACGTACAGAGTCATCTCAAAGACATTCCACATCCAGAAGAGATGACCGAAGACGATGAGCTCTACTATCTTTTCTCTATCCACGATGCTAATCATGATGGATACTTGGATGGTAATGAATTACGGGATGCATTTACCGATTATGATGAAGGAACGGGTAAGCCATATGTTTCGTTGGAAGAAGTTACAGAAATGATCGATCATGTGTTGTTAGAGGATGACATGAATAACGAGTAGGTGTATTATATTTTTCGTAAGATTAATTTCATGTTTTTTACTTTTTATTGACCCTCTTTGTAAATTAAAAGCGGAAAAATTAGCTGGGAAGAATATCTCATATCGCAATCATACCATGAAAAATAGTTATAAATAGTTATAAATTGTAATTAAATAATAAGCGTAATTTTGTATGTAATTTTGAAAACTTATAATTGTAGATATGCAGTTCTGGATTAATCAAGTATATAGCACAAACGAATGCAAATGTGGATTCATATTCTCTTGGATCATAATAATAGGCATGCTTAAAGGTTATTTTTAATCAAGATAAGGGCATGGATCGTTTATATTTTCAAGATCACCCTAATACAATCGATTCCTACAAATTATAAATAGTGTTCATTTTATAATACTTGGGACTTTCGTGTAGATTAGCTATAATGAATAGATAAAGTTTTGAGAAAATACAAAATTAATATTTTTGAATTCAAATTTTTGAAAAAACAATATACGGTATTCTTGCAGAAATCCAATTAAAAATTGATATATTGTATATATTACGAAAGAAACAAATGTATAAATTTTTTTAACCTGCAGTTAGGTTAAATTTAAATATATATTTAGCTGGCTTAGCCTTGTTTATTAGCTTTGATAAGTAATATACAATAAGACATTATAGAAATTACAGATTTATATTATTTATGTTACTTCTTAAAACTGATTAGAAAACAAGAAAAATTTATCAGATCACTTAAACTAAAAAAAAATTTATTTTCAAAATAAAGCTAATGTTAAAAAAAAATAAAAAAAGATATTTGTATTTATATTATATAGTTTTTTATATATTGATTAATTATATCAATATGATTATTTTAATAAAATTATTTATAAACTCTTTTTGCAAAAACTTAAAATTTTAAAAATCTTCTTTTTAGGTAACTTATCTAAAAAAAGAAACAAATTAAAAAAAAACAAAAAAAATACTCTTGCAATAATAACAACACATTCAGATTATTTAACATAAGATAATCTATTATATAAAACTTTAGACTAGTAAATAGTTAAAGATAAAAGACAAATACAAAAAATAATAGTATTTTTGATCTTTTCTATTTTTATAGAAAAAAAAATAATTAAGTTATAACTGATTCCCAATTAGAAAAAGAAAGCCAATATTAGTTTCACAAAGCTTGTAACCAAGTCAATATAAATTGACACCTTTCTTAATATTGCAAAAAATCTTAAAGAAAATATGCTTACTTAATAAATTAAATAAATCTCATATCTTTTAGGATTTAAAAAAATATCAAAGTTTTTAAAGATCTAAATTTTTTTTTTTTTTTTTGATACTAGCTCATCTATGTGTCATGGTACCATTTTATTATAATAAAGATCATATTTAAGGACAACCGGGATAAATAATTACTCGTACTATCTAAGGATTTATAAATCACTGAATAGTACATAGAGCTAACTATTTATGTCTCACCTTATCAGGATAAAATAACTATATAACCGTCTAGTCTAGATATTTCTCTTTACTACAATAAACTAACTAGATATCAAAATTTGAATCTCTAGAACTAAATATACCATGATACTCTCTAGGTACTGAACCCATTGGACCCAGGCTCATCAAGCGACTTATTGTTATCCTCTAAGAAGAGAAGCTAATATGCCAAGGATTCATCTAAGGTATCCAGTATCACTGATGTTGGAATCTCTTATATAGAGCCTTAATTTCACTAGTATTAAAAAAAAAAATTTTAAAGGGGAAAGGTGTGTACAGATCTTGTTCAATCGATATTGGTAATTGGTGTTGTTATATTTGATTTACAATGAAAAGATGGGTATATCAAAACTCTCTAAAAAGATAATACCCAAGTTGTTGGTTTCTATTTGCTAAATAGAAGATAAAAAAGTTGTTATTTATCCAGTGTGTCTTATTATAGCTTGTTCTTTTCTGATTACCACTGACATAAGAGATTTTATATCCTGTATCCATCCATATTAAGTACAATAACTTATAGTGGATCCCAGGTTCTTATGGAACTAAGGAAATACATTCAAATATGTGGGGTAACTAATGGAAGCTTGTTTATTTCTTTTATTAATATGAGCTCTTTCTGTCCAATCACAGTGTGAAAAACTTTGTGCTACTCAAAATTTAGGGTCAAACTAAGGTAGATAAAATTCACCAGAAAAATCAAGAATGAGCACTATAAAAAGGAGAAACATGACAAGAGAGTAGAAAAGTTGTCTCTCATCATATACATACTTTTGTAGTATTTCTATATAATGTGAAAGAATAGCATATTAGTATTTCTTCCTTTCAGAACTTTCTTGCCATTGATAGAAAAGGTGTTTTTTGACCTTTATAGTCACTAGAGGTCAGGTTTTTGTTTGAAAAAGATAGTAGACAAAAGGGGAGGAGGTAATTAATAGCTTTTGAAGTTTCTTCAAGTTGGTTTAAGAAAAGTAATAAGACTTTGTTAGCTTAGAAGTATAAAAATTTCTTGCAAACATCTTTTTTGTGTGTGATCAGAGGATTAGCGAAAAAAGTTATTTTCAAGATCTAAATAGCCTAATATATAAACATTAATCTTAATAATATGATTATATTTAATAATATTAATGGTTATAATAGATTAATAAGATGTAATCAATAATAATAAAATATAATATATTTTAACAACTAGTATAAAACTACTATAAATAAGTAAATACTAGTAAATAAAAATAACAAATATATATTTAAATCAAATAAAAATTGAAACAATAAAGAAAACAAAAAATATTATAACAAAATATCAAATATAAAAGTTATTCTATACTATATATCTATAATATTACAATATAATTTATTTATTTATTTTTTAATTTACAATTATACTATTATAACTTATCTTTATTAAAATATTAGAAATATCTACAACTTTATATGAACTATTTATATGATGCTTTATATATTATTAGTTAAATAACTTTTTTTTTTTTTTTTTTTTTTAACCCGCAATCATGTCACGATGGCTTGTCTTTATTGGAAAATTGAAATAACTTT